ACAGACAAGAAAATGAAGCCCTGAATAATCACAGATAAATAAAGTCAAAGAAGTAATAAGTGGTGGAAACAGCTCTCCTTCCATTGGTCTCACTCTCAAGTATGTGCTCTGCTACACTATAATTAGAGATTGCAAAGAAAAGGGAGAACATACACGTCAGAAATAAAGATAGAAAATATGAGAATAAAGACATTTTCCTCAAACAACATGCCTGTGCTTGCTGGGCACACAAAACACAGATTGTAAGGAGACTATGAAATTAAAAATGCTATTGAATTAACAATATAAAGGCAATCAGTTTTAGACTTTTTGAATCACACTGAAACAAGACAGATGGAACAAAGAAAGAGGAAACAAAACACGCCTTAAATGTGATCTGGATTGGCTTACAGCAACAGCCGGCTGACAGGCTGGAAATAAGCACAGGCTGACAGGAAATCAGCTTCCAAAAACTGCGTAAAGTCCAGCAAAGGATGCGGTGCTTTTATTACTGCAATTTGTTATTCTGACAGTCACCAACTCAAGGGTGTGCTCCCCGGGCTACCCACATCATTTTGCAGCCCATGGAGATCTGTACACCAGTGAGGTCTACAGGACAGGCTCCCCAGGGCTGCCAGAAAGGCATATAACCATCAAACCTACACTCATCGTAGACTATGGGCTTTATATAATACTACATCAATAAAATTGTTCTGCAGAAAAATCACCCATATGAAAAATACTAGTGAGTAACTGACATTCTTTCAAATATCTGTAACTACAGAGAATTGCAGTAGAGAGTATAAAACAAATTTAAGATTCTACCAATAAGCCTAGGAAAGTTATTTGTTCAAAACATAGAAAACAGCCCCTCTGAAGTCTTTCAGAGCCAGGTTCATGCCACATAAGCACAGACATACCTTTTGGGGACAAAAATAACAAGGGCTTAACATACCTATGCATGAGATTTTTAAATATGAAACCAATTCTCTAATTAGAGCCCACAAGTATGAACATTAAGTTCCTCTAACAGTTTTCAGAATATCATTAGCTATCAGAGAGATACAAATTCAACCTACATTGAGATTCCATCTCAACCTAGCCAGAATGGCAGTCACTAGGAAAACGAGTGGCAACAAATGCAATCTAGCAAGGGAGTATATACACAGAAGGGAGTACATACACAGAAGGGAGTACTGGCAAAATGCTGGTGGGAGTGCAAACTAGTATAGTCACTAGAATGTCAGTATAGGGCTCCTCAAAAAACAAAACTCTGGGACCAGGAGATGGCTCAGCAAACAAAAGTGCTTGTCACACAAGCCTGAAGATCTAAGTCAACCCCAGAACCCGTGCAAAAAGCCAGATTCAGTGCTATGCGCATGTAATCCCAGCCACTTCGATGGCAAAATGGGAAAGAGAGACAAGAGAATCGCCCGGAACTAATTTGTAGCAGGGTGAACAAGAGACCCTGCCTCAAAAACAAATGGGAGGAAAAAAATCAAACTGCAAGGAGAGGTGTTCTCTGACCTCCACACATGTATGCACATGTGCAGACACACAGATAGATAGATACAGATAGATACAAACATACATACATAGATATATAGATAGACAGACAGACAGACAGACAGATAGACAGACTTGAAAAATAAATGAGCACCCATAGGGGTGCAGGTTTATTTCTGGGTCTTCTATCCGATTCCATTGATCCACCAGTCTGTTTCTATGCCATTACCATGCAGTTTTTACTACTGTTGCTCTATAGTACAGCTTGAGATCAGGGATGGAGATACCTCCAGAAGATCTGTTATTGTACATGATGTTTTAGCGATTCAGGGGTTTTCGTTTTTCCATATGATATTGAGAATTGTTCTTTCTGTAAAGAATTGTGTTGGTATTTTGATGAGAACTGCATTGAATCTGTAGATTGCCCTTGGCAGGATGACCATTTTTAATAGGTTAATCTTACCCCATGAGCATGGGAGATCTTTCCATCTTCTGGAATCTTCTTCAATTTCTTTCTTCAGAGACCTGAAGTTTTTTTTTTTTCTTTTCTTTTAAGTTTTTTGTTTTTTTTGTTTTGTTATGAAGTACATTTATTTATTATTTATAAAGCATTCTGCCTACACACCAGAAGAGGGTACCACCATGCAGTTGCTGAGAATTGAACTCAGGACCTTGGGAAGAACAACCAATGATCCTCTAAGCCATCTCTCCAGCCCTGAAGTTTTTTTCAAACAGGTCTTTCACATGCTTGGGTACAGTCACACCAAGGTACTCTATGTTATTTGTGGCTAACGTAAAGGGTGTTGTTTCCTAATTTCTTTCTCAGCCCTTTTGTCTTTAGTATACAGGAGAGCTACTGAATTTTATTATTTTTTTTTTCGTTTAAAAAAATGATGAAGGCATTTATCAGCTGAAGGTGTTCTCTGGTAGAATTTTTGGGGTCACTCAAGTATATTATCATATCATCTGCAAATAGTGATACTTTTGACTTCTTCCTTTCCAATGTGTATTCCCTTGCTCTCCTTTACTTTTCTTATTGCTCTAGCTAGAACTTCAAGTGCTATGTTGAAGAGATATGGAGACAGTGGACAGCCTTGCCTTGTCCCTGATTTCAGTGGGATTGATTTAAGTTTCTCTCTATTTAGTTTGATTGGCTATATGCTTGCTGTATATTGCTTTTACTATGTTTAGGTATGTGCCTTGTATCCCTGATCTCTCCAAAACTTTAAACATGAATGGGTGTTGGATTTTGTCAAATGCTTTTTCGGGATCTAAGGAGATGATCATGTGGTTTTTTTCTTCTGTTTGTTTATGTGGTAGATTACACTGATTTTTGACAAAGAAGCCAAAACAATACAATGGAATAAAAGCATATTCAGCAAATGGTGCTGGTCTAATTGGTTATCTACATGTAGAAAAATGAAAATAGATCCATACTTATCACCCTGCACAAAACTAAAGTCTAAGTGGCTCAACGACCTCAACATAAAACCAGACACACTAAATCGGCAAGAAGAAAAAGTGGGAAAGAGTCTGGAACTCATTGGCACAGGAGACAACTTCCTGAACAGAACAACAACAGCACAGGCTCTAAGAGCAACAATCAATAAATGGGACCTCATGAAACTGAAAAGCTTCTGTAAAGCAAAAGACACTGTCATCAGAACAAAACGTCAGCCTACAGATTGGGAAAGGATTTTCACCAACTCTCTATCTGACAGAGGGCTGATAACAAGAATACATAAAGAACTTAAGAAGTGAAACACCAACAAATCAAGTAAGCCCATTAAAAAATGAGGTATAGAGCCAAACAGAATTCTCAATAGAGAACTATCGAATGGCAAAGAAACACTTAAGGAAATGGTCAAAGTACTTAGTCATCAGGGAAATGCAAATCAAAACAACCCTGAGAGTTCACTTTACTCCCATCAGAGTGGCCAAGATCAAAAATTCAAGTGACAACACATGCCGGAAAGGATGTGGAGAAAGGGGAACCCTCCTCCATTGCTGGTAGGAATGTAAACTTGTACTAACACTTTGGAAATCAATCTGGTTCTTTCTCAGACAATTAGGAATAGTGCTACCTCAAGATCCAGTTATACCACTCCTAGGCATATATCCAAATTATGCTCAACTATACAACAAAGACATTAGCTCAACCATGTTTGTAGCAGCTCTATTTGTAATAGCCAGAAGCTATAAACAACCTAGATGCCCCTCAACAGAAGAATGGATACAGAAATTGTGGTACATTTACACAGTGGAATGCTACTCAGCAATCAAAACCAAGGAAATCATGAAATTTGCAGGCAAATGGTAGGAACTAGAAAAGATCATCTTGAGTGAGTTAACCTGGAAGCAGAAAGACACATATGGTATATACTCACTCATAAGTGGATATCAGCCATATAATATAGGATAAACATACTAAAATCTATACTCCTAAAGAAGCTAAACAAGGAAGACCCTAGGGAAGATGCTCAATCCTCATTCAGAAGGGCAAATGCAATAAACATTGGAAGCAGTAGAAGACAGGGAACAGAACAGGAGCCTATCACAGTTGGCCTCTGAAAGACTCTGTTGATGGAGGGTTTGAAGCAGAGGCTGATACTCATAGCCAAACTTTGTACAGAGTGCAGGGAATCTTATGAAAGAAGGGGAGATAAAAGACCTGGAGGGGACTGGAGCTCCAAAAGGAGACCAACACAGCCAATAAAACTGATAGCCTGCAGAGACTGATTCCCCAACCAAGGACAATGCATGGCGAGAACCTAAAACCCCAGGTCAGATGTAGTCCACAGACTCAGTCTCCAAGTGAGTTCCCTAATAAGGGGAGCAGGGGCTTTCTCTGGCACAAAATCAGTGACAGGCTCCTCTGGGGGGAGCAGCCTTGCCAGGCCACAAAGGAAAATGATGCAGCCAGTGCTTATGACACCTGATAGGCTAGGGTCAAACCGAAGGGGAGGAGGTCCTCCCTATCAATGGACTAGGGGAGGGGCATAGGGGAAGAAGAGGGAGGAAAGGTGGGCTTGGGAGGAGATGAGGGAGGGGGCCACAGCCAGGATACAAATTGAATAAATTGTAATAAATGATAATAATTTTTAAAAAATAAAGGAGTAAATACATAAATCTCTAAAAAAAAAAAAAAAAAAAAAAAAACACCCAACCACTAAAATTAGAACTACGATAGGACCCAACTATATACCACTTGTATCTCTACTCAACTGACTACAAGTCAAATATAACAAATGCTTGCACAACACTGAAAATAGCTAAGTTGCACATCCTCGTTCACTGCAGCTCAATTCACAATAGCTAAAAGACAAAATCGACCAGCCAGGAGTGGTGGCGCACACCTGTATTCCCTGCACCCTGGGAGGCAGAGGCAGGAGGATCTACTCTCCGAGTACAGTGTGAGCAGGCAGATTATTTTAAGCTATTACCTGTTTTGCCCCCTCAACAGGAGGAATATTTCGATGAGAAAAGGAAGAGGTTTCCTGATGTTACACACTCACCTGGCATTGGCAGCTTTCAAGTCACAGAAGTGAGTGAGCAAAGCCTTTACAATATCATTACAGACGACTTTAACCACATCCACGTGACTCAGCCTGTGGCGAATCTGCTTGGCAATTTCCCAAAAGTCATCCAAGAGCAGATAGTAGAGCTGTCCTTCATCTCTGCTGAGGTGCCCGTACCAGGAGAGAATATAGTCTCTATAACTGTAGTCGAACACTATGAGGAATAAGCAAAGCTGGGTCAAAGTTGCAAACATCCAGGTTTAACATATTGTTTAACATATAATGAGCAGAAAATAGAACAAGGGAAAGGAAATCTTTTAAGCTAAAAGACCCTCATCTAACTGGAGTGTCTGGGTCTTATATGGTCTAATTTCAAATATTTTATCTTGATGCCAACCTACTTAAATACATATAATACAGCAAATCTTTTCAATCATTGCTTGGGCTGTAAGACCCCAAAGCTCACATGAGCAAAGAAAAGACACTTCTGTCAAGTTTATTCCACCTTAAGTTACTGCAACTAACAGTAGAAACTGTTCATGTTCCACTTACCTATAATACCCTTTAGTGTTAAACCATGGTAAAGGAGCATGATGCTTTACATTACAGAATAGATTCAGCTATTTTGTCTCCTAAGATGCCAACTAATACAAGAACAGTCCCACAACCCAACCTTGTACATAAATAGGCACGTGTGGCCAGTTACCTTCACTGGGCAGTGCCATATGGTAGAAATACAAAATCTGCATATGTGCTTTTATCTTTTTCTGCTAGCCATCAGAGTAGAGTAGAGTAGAGTAGAGTAGAGTAGGGTAGAGTAGGGTAGGATAGGGTAGGGTAGAGTAGAATAGAGTAGAGTAGGGTAGGGTAGAGTACAGTAGAGTAGGGTAGAGTAGGGTAGGGTAGAGTGGAGTAGAGTAGAGTAAAGTAGGGTAGGGTAGGGTAGGGTAGGATAGGATAGGATAGGGTAGAGTAGAGTAGGGCAGGGTAGGGTAGGGTAGGGTGGAGTGGAGTGGAGTGGAGTAGAGTAGAGTAGGGTAGGGTAGGGTAGGGTAGGGTAGGGTAGGGTAGAGTAGGGTAGGGTAGGGTAGAACAGAATACATTATTTCAGGAAGAAGGACTTCTGAAAAACAACTGACGGCTGCCATAGATGATGAAACCTCCAAGTTTAGCCACATAACCCTGCTCCAGCTAAGCACACCACGCTTATGAATATTTTTGGAATAATTTATTTCTCAATGCTTTTCTTCTCCTTTTTCAGACACTACTCATAGCCTGGTAGGGTGGTGCACACCTTTAATCCCAGCCCTCGAGAAACAGAACTAGGCAGACTTCTGAGAGTTATAGGACAGCCTGGTCTACACTGCAAGTTCTATCCCTACTGCTATATAGTAAGACTTTTTCTCAACAGACAGAAAAGACATACACAGAGACAGACAACTACACAGACAGACAAAAACTCACATACAGAACATCAAGAATTTTGTTGACATTTATTTATACATGCCAAAGTTTAAGTAAAATCTCAAGGTGGTTCCAATGGCTTCAACGGTACCTTATAGCTGAGAACAATTATCTTCCAAAGAGAGGAAGAAAGGGAAAAAAAAAAAAGATGCTACAACAATCTTTAAAGATTCATTAAACATTATTTTATAAATTCTGATATGCAAGGTGGAATGAACAGCCACATCAGTAACAATCAAACATGGAAGAAAAGCCATCAATCAAACGAGCTCTTAAGATTCTCAATCATTTTTATGTTAACATCCAGATATTTGATCAGATGGCCATTGAGTTTCCTAGCTTTGCAGAGTAGCTGTATCTCATCTTGAACTGGGGGATTGCACTAAGAAGACAGAGACAGTTTCTGGTCCAGTTGTAAGGCTTTAAATCTAAAACTGGAACAAGACAACTCTATAACCTTATTCATTTGTAACAAACAGAACATGGTTCCTACACAGCAACTGAGCATCATGTCAGGAAACTGAGGCTAAAGGAGTAACATAACTTGTAGGCAGCATGTAGGACCTCCTGTCTTACTCTGCACACTGTAGTCCCCCATATACATAAGCAGAAGAAGACAAGTGATAAGAGTGGCAGACAGGAGAAACCAGAAATAGTGCCCTTGTCCAGTGCTCAGCCAGCTTCTTTAAATCATATTCATATAGAGAAATAAGTCACAGACACCACTTCGTAAAATGCTCCAGAAAGCACAACAGGAGGACAGCACAAACATCCTAGGGAAGAGGTCCTGTTCGACTCAACATGAAGAGGAACTCAATAAAAGTCACATCACTGTCCAATGGCTTTCCCACCATCTAATGGACAAAGATGACAAAAACCTAAATGACCTCCAAAGGACCTCGTCTGCAAGTCCAAGTAACAGATCAGGACAAGAGTCCCTTTCTGAAAACACTGTTTGATTGGTCCCTTGCTTTTGTATTAAACCAAGTCTTCATACCACAGAAATTTATAGTAATAAACCTGAGGCCTAAGCATATGCTAAATATGCTAGTTAAGGACAATTATAAGAGATTTAATACCTTTATGGTAAGATCTGCCTAGTGTGCTGTCCTAGCAACCACTGTACTGCTGTGGAGAGACCACCGCCAAGGGAACTCTTAGAAAAGAGAACATTTAATTGGGGGCTGGCTTACCGTTTCAGAGGTTCAGCCCATTATCATCATGGTGGGGAATGTGGCAGCATGCTTGGCCTGGAGCAGTAGCTGAGATATACATACTGATCCTCGGGCCAAGAGAGAGACCCTGGGCTTGGCATGAGCTTTTGGAACCTCAAAGCGCAGCCCAAGTGACACACTTTCTCAAAGAAGACCACAGCTCCTAAACCTTTCAAACAGTTTCATTTCCTGGTAAAGAAGCATTCAAATCTATGAACCTATGGGGGCCATTCTTATTCAACCTACCACACACGCTAAAAGGTTTAAATGAAAGGTGCACCATCTACATTCTGTCCTACTACATTTCTCAACTACACTGCATATGCTATTTAATACAACTCTGAAATATTCCTATGGTAATACAATTTGTTTAGGAATTTATAAAAATCAATACTGGAAGAAATTTGTATTCAGCCATAAACTTTTTTTACCATAGATAGATCTTCCACTAATAACTAATCAATGTCTTTCTTAAGTATCATAGCTGCATATGTAACCTGAATATATAAAGCAAAAAAAGAGCCATACTTCTAAATATATGTATTGCACAGCAATACAGACCCACCCAAATACAAAAATGAACAAAAAGTTGTGTTGTGTTGTGTGTGTGTATGTGTATGTGTATGTGTATATATATTTGTGTGGCACATGTATGTGGAAGACAGAGGTCAAGGTCAAGTGCCTTCCTTACTTGTTCTCCACTTTATTTTTTAAGACAGGGTACCTACTGACCCGGCGCTTACTGATTCAGCTAGACTGACTGGCCAGTGAGCTACAGAGATCCACCTGTCTCTACTTCCCCAACACTGGATTAGAGATGAATGCCATTGAGACTGGCTTTACCTGGATGCTAGGTCCTTAGGCCTGCATGGTGAGCACTTTACCAACTGAATGATCTCTCAGCCCACTCAGCAAGATATTTTTAAAGATAACTCAATGATGAATCAATTCCAGAACATGAATTCCCTCCTGTGAAGCAGGCCTCAAATCCAATCAGAGAGCAGTTGGTTGCCTCAATAAAAATCAGGCCTCTGACTGCACTGGTCAACCAGTTAACTTCTAGTGTATGTAGTATAATTCTTATTGTTCCCTCTCTAACACCTAACTACATTGTTTTTCGCTACTTTTTATTCTTATAAAAGTATATAAAAACTTTAGATAACTCTTCATCTACATTGAACTACAACATACTCTTTAGCAGCAAACACGTTTATATGCTTACCACACATATATTTATAATTTACTGTACTCTATGATTACATTACTTTAAACGATATATCCCAAAGACAATAAAGTAAATATAAATATAAAATGGCACAATATTATCTAGTTAAAATAACTTGAGAAGACAACCTTAAAATATTTTCTAGGTGGCTCACATCAACTAAATTTAAATAAATGCAGCCCTAACAAACATACTGTCACTTAAGCTTTTTACTATGGATGTTTCTAAATGCTTGCATAATCTCTTAGTTTTCTCAACACACATTTCTAGATTCCCATAAATTTAAGTGGCCACATTTTTAAGAAAGTGATTCTAGTTTTGGCCTGTTTGTTATTGTTGTTATCAACTTCTGCCAAATGTGTAGACTGCACTCCTCAATTTACTGCTATACCAGCCAACAGCTCTTATTTTAGTAGAGGATATGATGTTCAATTTCCTGTAAATGATCTTATGTAAAACAAGGGACTTTTGAGCCTTAAAAAGTTGGTTAACAATGCTGCATAACAGAAGCTGAGCTACAAAAAAGAACAATGCAAAAGAAGTCAACTTCAGTGCAGCTTAGAGACAACTACCAGTAGGAGAAAGGCTGGATTTACTTAGTGCACACTGTACATTTGAACTGAAATATCACACCAAATCCCCTTACTACATGTAAGTGATACATTAAAAAAATCAAGTTTAAAAAAGAGAGCAAGCCACCAACTGTGCTTCAAAAAAATCACCAAATAATAAACCTAAGCTCTTACCCAAAGGCTTTTGTGACACTTTCCTTTCTAGAGAAACCACCACACAGAAACTAACCCAAGGGCAATGTGTCATCTTTCTACCAAGTAGGACTCAGGCTTTCCTAATACTCCACACAAATACTCCTGAAACATACCAGCCCACACAAGAGAAAAAGATCATCTTTAAAGAAATGCAAACAAATTTTTAAGTCTTCCAAAATTCAAACAGCACCATATTTTTAATATTCACAGTGGCGCCAAATGGAAGCAACTCAAGTGTCCATCAATGGATGAACATATAAAATGTGGCATGTAAATACAATGAAATATTAATCAGCTTTCAAAAGGAAACCATTAAAACAGCACATACAATTAAAGGTTTTTAATGGTTTTAAACCTTTATTTTATTTTACATGCATGAGTGGGTTTTTGTTTTGGTTTGGTTTTGGTTGTTTTCACATGTAGGTATGTATACCAGCTGCATGTGTGGTGCCCTCAGAGGCCAGAAGAGAGTGTAAGATCTTCTGGAACTAGTTACACAGATGGTTGTGAGCCACTGTATGAGTGCTGGAAACCAAATCCAAGTCTTCTGCAAGAGAGCTCTTGACCACTTAGTCACCTCTCCA